TGTGTTTATATCTATGATGTGGTGTGTGTGTGTGTGTTATGATATATCCAAGAATTTCAGACATTTGGGAGATCTTGACATCCTTTGTAAAAGTAGCTTTTATTCGTCAGACATAATTGTCATATCCAAGACTTACTGCTGAATAAGCTCACCCTTTGCAGTTCTTTCTCAACTCTGGCTGGCTGGTTCAATTTAGTTGTTCTGGCTCACACTCTTCTCCAAGCTGACTGATTCAGTCTTGCTCCTCTTACCTTCTCACTGAATTGCTCTGTTTGCTATAAAAATAACTGGCAGGCAGTTGATTCTAATCTTCTGGCCATTTCTTATTCTCTGGCTTCAGCTGCCTCTTGCTGACCTGTAGTATTAAAACGCATGGATTTGCTAATGATCTCAATGCCACAGCGCTGCACTCACTGCACTGACTCCTCTTACCTGAACTCAACTGTCCGAACTACACTGAGTGTACAGAAATGAACTGAAGTCCACTCAACTAAGATCCACTCCACTCCCCCTGTGCTGCTCTTAAGTAGCTGTTCTCCTCAGAGTTGAACATATCTCTGTCTCATTCTGTAAAACCTTTCTCTGATTCATCAAGTTGTCTATCCCTCAATTAGACATCATTGCTTTGGACTAAAAGTATGTACTAAGGGTGTGTCTGTATTTCAGCCAGACAGAATAAAGGTGTGTGGCATGTCTGCATTCAAGCAGGATTACACAGACCTAGAAAGACTTTGGATGTGATCATCCACATTGCTGGATTAAAATTCCTCTATATCCCTGGAATTTAGTATCATCTAAGGTAAAGTTTCCTGCATCTAACTGCTGGGGTCCAGAAATCACCTCATAAGCCACATGAACACCGATCTCAGTCAGACAAGTGTAGTTTATTGAGCATATGCCCCAGGACTAATTGACCAGGGCCATGGTCCAGATTAGGGAACTGAACCATGACCCTGAGTTAAAATCCTACAGGGCTTTTAAGCCCCAAATCCACAAACATCTGTACAAAGTTATTCCACCAATCAAGACTTAAGGATAGGGGGATTTCTTTAGAACATGTCTTTGTTGTACACTTATTTTGCTTCCATTGGTTGTGGTATTCAAGTGTGGCAGGGGATTTGCCTTGTCTAATATTCACATTCTAACCTGTCTACCTAGATGCGACTTGTCTAACACACATGTCGTAACTTGGCAACCAGGCTGCCAGTCACCCACATACGTGTCACTTTTTGCCAATTGGGATGTCAGTTCCCAGGGAACTCTCTTGGAAACTCAAACTTTACTAGACCACTACTCAAAACTTAAGTCTTATTCCAAATAGTTTCTTATATTGGAGCAGGTGTCTGTCTTATGTTGGGATCCATCCCATATGTGTAGCTTATATCATAAAAGTTTATACTCAGGTACAGGAAGTGTTGTTGACTGGTTGGTTCATGTCCAAGCTGATTATGGGTAACTATACAAAAGAGTTCATGATTGTTTTCCAAGGGCACAGAACGTAACAGAATACATAATCAATCTTGGCATTAGAAAGTTTCCTAGTTTCAACAGAAAGATATGAGAAAGTTTCCTACTGGAAGGCTAGCCAGGTAACTGTTACCAAGGCCTTAACATTTTACATAGGCCTTAATATTTAACCTAGGCCCTAACACTAACAAAGTTCTAGCTAGCATATGGCCACACTGCACGCACACACACACACAAATCAATGTAAATGAGGAAGAGGTTTCAGATCATCATCAGGCACACACATGTATGACAAAAATCACTGGTATGACTCTCATTCTTAAAGGCACTCTTCAACAGAGGTGAGTGGGAGTTAAAGGCAGTATCCAATACAACTCAATGCCCATGTTTTACAATATTTCCGTTTGTAATCTCTATGACTTTGTCTTCATGTACAATTATAAAAGCACAATAAGTTTATTAGGGATCATGCTTCTTATAAAAAGGACTATATGATGTATATGATTTTATTTGGTAACAATCACAGCTCAGTAACAGAGAAAAGTGGTTGGAATCTGGTTGTAACTTCAACATAGACTGCCTGAAGAACTATATGAAATGGCTGAAGGAATGTATGTTAGTCATGGGTGAAGCCTGGGATTTTTCCTTGAGCAATTCTGTGGATGTTTGGGTCAGTCATATAAATTGAAAAGCCCATTGGAATCAGTATTGCACAGAGGACAGCTTTCTATTTAAATTTTTCTATTTGATTTATTCCAGTGAGAGAGGTTGGGAAATGGTGCAGACAAGTACTTATCTTAATCTACAATTTTATATTGGATATATCTACAATTTGATATTATGCTAGCTAGTAGACAACTTCAAATTTTGGAAAAAATACACAGATGAATATATCCTGAAGAAATGACATGATTGGTTTTGTTACAGATCATTTATTAGTGGTTGTGTGTGTGTGTGGTATATGCAGTTATGTGTGTTACAGCGTGTGTAGAGGTCAAAGGACAACTTGTGGGAACCAGTCCTCTTCTTTCACCATGGCTTCAGAGGCCTGAACTCAAGTCCTCAGGCTTGCATAGAATATCACAGCATGGTGCAGTCTAGAGACAGGATGAGGAAGCCTGAATAACTCTTCACAATTTGTTACTTCTTTTGTTGAACTCACGGCATACATTTGTGCATATGTATGTGTATGTGTGTGCATGTGTGTGTGTGTGTGTGTGTGTGTGTGTGTGTGTCTGTGTCTATGTTGGTTACTAGTTGTAACAAGAGAGGAAGAAAGTCATTAAAGCTGTTTTTCTCCCTCCTTCTTCAAAGGGCAGCTTCTGCTAAAAGCTCTCCATTGAAATAGATTTGAGTTCATTAGAAGTTAGACCAACTTCAACCAATCATAACTTCATCTTCAACTTTAATAAAGTTGATTGTAGATATGTGTGGTCAGAAAATTTATAATTTATGACTTTACTAGTCATGCAATGTACTAGAAATTGTTATCAGGCCCCTAATAAACATAATTGTATTTTGTAGCTTTTGAGGTTTTACTATGACTACTTTGAAACGCCTCTGAAAACACAGTATTTGTGGCTATAATTTACTTTTCCAAACCCCAAGGCTCCAAGCAATAGGATGAAAACCAGTCAGGTGAAACTTCACTGAGCTCTGCAGCATTCCTCTACCAGCAAACACAATGAGCAGTTGATTCAACATAGCTGTGTTTTAAAATATTTTTGCCTCAAGATTCACTTCTTTAGTTATTTTCTGGGCAAGAGAATGATAAATTAAAACTAACCAGGACTACCCAAACATTCTGAAGAAAAGTGGACACTGTTGAATAACTATATATATACATATATACATATATATATATATATATATATATATATATATATATATATATATATATTCTGTACATATGCTACTAATTCACGAGGTATTTGTTGCAGTGAAGATTCTGAAAGCTTTGAAGAAGTCTGGAGATTCAGCAAGCAGATCAGGAACACAGCATCTGAAAGTACAGAAGAACACAGCCTCTGCGGTGTATTCTAGAGGGTGGTCCGACACCAGATACACAGGAGCAGCACAAACTGGACTATGTGGCTTAATTTAAAAATGTAAAATTAGATTGTCTCAGAACTGCACCAAATCACAGTTGAAGAAAAATCACAGCACACATGGCCAACAAAAACATGAAGAGAGGGACTGCAGCAGGCTACTGCAATTGGAAAGGTGCTGTTTGAATGGCAATATTCATGTTGAATGACTTAGAGATTTTTGCACCCGGCGGCTTCCAAACCAGAGACCACTGACCCAAAAAGCCTAGAGGAAATAGTGTTAACCACTGCATGTACAATGTGCCTTTTGACTGATAGCTTTAGGCGTGGGTGTCAACTACGGTCTACACATGGACGGTGCTAGTTATCCTTCACATTCCTTCTCCTTTGGTTCTAATTTTGCAATATCAATGCCTTATGGAAGCTGCAGATTTTATTATTCCTTTACCTTAAATTCTGCCCTGGCTTGAAATGGTGGTCAGCCAAACTACTGTCAAATTGCCCACATGCTAAGTTTTATTTATTTTTACACATTGTAGATAAAAGATAACTTTGCCAGGAGCAGAACTGGTGCTTTCCATCCAGGCTGTGGTAACTTGTCTTTTTATTAATAGAAGCATGCAATCAGAAATTTTCATGTATTTAGACCAGTGTGAGGAAAACTAGAATGTAACACTGTTTTGCTGTCATACTGATAAGCAGGAAGAAGATGCATATCTGGTTAAGGTGCTGAGAACAAAAGAACAAGTACTCATGTCTAAATTGGACATTTCAATCAACTCCTTCCCACCAAGGCTCAGAAGCATCCAAGAAGAGGCTGTGGAAAATATAAGAGCAGAAGGACGGGAGAGAAATGCTGTCTTCTAGTCATGGCATGCCTGTCACTGTCATGAGCACACAGCACTTGGGATTTCCTGCACAGGATCAAGATAGGCAAAATCTCTCAGAGAACATAGATAATATCTAGGACCCACTCCTTTTCAGGGAGTAAACCTGGACTTAGTAGTTTCTAGAGGAAGGAGAAGTATTCTGTTTTTGAGGATGTGACTACTGATTGATGTGTTCCAGTGAATGACCCCACACCCACAGATACGTGACAAGCACTAACTAGACTTAGTAGGTAATTAAAACAAAAAACCATAAAACTGGGAGGGACACATGTTGAGGGTATATTGGAAAGTTGGAGGGATGGCGGACAGACACAATTATATTCATTGTATACATGTGTGGAGTTCTCAGGAATAAAGAAAAATGTAAACTGCAGCATTATCAATACTTTCGAAGTCACCAGTAAATATAAGTTGATTTCTGAGTACTTCAGGAGAGTAAGAGCTTGACTCTAAAGTGTTGAAATGTCTTGATTATATCTGTATATTGTATGGTATTTGTTCCTTTATGTATATATGCACAGGGCAATGATCAAACTTTTTTTGTCTAAATGCACCCATAAGAGATCTGTAATAAATACAAAAAAATTCAAGTATGAAAGGAAGGGATGGTACTCTTTATCAACAATGATTTTTTTTTCTTGGAACATGAAATCGTAATTCTAATCCTTAACAGGACTTTAAATTAGTCTTGAACATTTAATAACATTCAACATCCTTTGAAATTTCTGCAAGTAAATCAATAATTGTCAAATAGGATCACACATACTTTGCTTCATTCTCTAGCACCTTGAAAAGACATACATATTCATATATAAATAATAAAGAGGGATTTTGATAGATATCTTGTTTATCATATTTTTCTTATGAAAACTTACATATTTGTCAAAGCAGACATTACAGTTTACTTAAGGTATTTTAAATACAAGTATAGCAAGTCTTGCCTCTATTAAAGTTCAAGCTAAATGTTCCACTAATGTGTTTCTTTCAAAATAGGTGCACATAACCAGGAATTCCCTGAAGTTGGTTATGATCTGAGTATGCGTCAGATTTCCTATTTGAATTTTCTCTCTTTGGGCCAATTGTTTGTTCACAGAATCACTACCATTATGGACGTAAAATGATGCAAGGCAAATGTCCACTGTCAAGTTGAGAGATTTGTTGAAGGATTAATTAGGAGAGGATTAAGTAATGTCCATGATGAGTGAGCACTGGCTCTCAACTATTCCAACCACCTCCTGAGCAGACAACTGAGTTCTGTGTGTACATATTTTCCAGTGTAATACATCAGTAGACCTAGTTTATAAGATACGGCAACAAATGTTTTATATGTATATGTATAAGAACAAAATAATACACACATACTTTTATATCATTTTGGCAAGATTAGTGAGGCACAAACATCATTTTATAGCACTTTCATAGGACTAAGGTTGACTTAAGAGATGCAATATGGAGGTCCTTATCATCTATAACTCTGGTTCCAAGAGATCCAACACTTTCTTCTAGGCCAGCAGTTCTCAACCTTCCTGATGCTGCCATCCTTTATAAACAGTTCCTCATGCTGTGGTGATCCCAACCATAAAATGATCTTTGTTGCTACTTTTTAACTATTTTCCTACTGTTATGAATTATAATGTAAATATTTTATATTCTGATGGTCTTAGGTTAACCCTCAAAGATTGTTTGATCCCTAAAAGGGTCACAACCCACAGGTTGGGAGCAGCTGTTCTAGCCTCTATGGGCACTGCAAGTATGTGATATACAAACATATATGCAGGTAACACACTCATAACATAAAACTAGAACAAAATCTTGAAAGAAAACCTCAAATAATGACATTACTTTTAAGAATTTATAACAATAATTTGTTAGGTGTTGTCTCACTGTGAGAAGTAAAGTAATACAATCCTCAATATCACCTAGAACCTTATTGGCCCAAATTTCAAAAGAAGGTAGAAAAACTCTAAAGGTATGTTTAGAAAGTCACCCTATAATAAAACAGGAACATTTATTTTGGGAATGAAACAGTGCCCCATAAACGGATCTTTACCAAAAAGTAAAATTAAGATGGTGCAAACATCTAAAACAGCATCACTTTCCTGACTTTTACTAAAGTCCTTCCAACAGAGGTGATCAGCTGTACCTTTCTCATTACCAAGATACAAGTTATATTAATGTAATTTTTATTATATTGATTTACTAAAACAAACAAAAAAGTCAGAGGTCTATAGAAAATGTCTGCATTTGCAATCTTGTTCACAGGCAAACTATACTCAATTTAAGATTTCTGTAAATTAGATTGTTTTTTATTTGAACTAATTTCTAGGAAAATTTGTTCCCTATAAGCTAGCATGTCTTGAACATCTTTGTAGACAAGCATTTCCTGGATGGACAGCAGCTTAAAGTTGTTTAAGCTGAATGCGGAATGGCTCCTTACAGCATTTATCATCCCAAGGGATGCTGTAACTGACTCACTCAGAGAGGAACAGACAGGGAAAATGCGTGCTGTCCACAGGCTCAGGTTCATCTTATTTCCAGAGAAAAGTTTCTCTGTAGCTTTAAGGTTCCAAATGTCTAAACAAGACAGAAAACAGACTCCGAAGAACTGAAGTGCCTTTATATCTTCCAGGGTTTTAACACTGTTTTTCAAATTGTCTTCCATGCCAAACACCATAGTGCAATATTCTAAGTGTCCATTTATCTTCACACTTAAAGAACATAAAAAAGAGTGTGCTGGCACAACAGCTTTTGCTATGACACAACTGCTGATAATGCAGTTTTCCCCGATGGACACCTCAGGCCCCAGTCTAGAATACTCTACAACTGAGCCAGGGGCCACGCAGCATCCAAAGTCCAGTGTGCTGTGAATGACACAGGCTGTTTCACTGGAGCACTCAGGAACACTTGGAGAGACACTGAAAGCTATGGACTGTAAGCCCAGCTCTGACTTTAATGTACTGTCGGAAGTGAAATGAAGCAGATATTCTTGTGTTGTTCCAATGTGATAAAATCTGGAGTTATTAAGAACAACAACATTCAGTGGTGTTCCTTTGAGGAGGTGGAATATTTTCTGCCTCATGTCCAACAACTGGGAGTCTTCTTCAGTGACATGGGATGTGTTTCTGGTATACTCTGCAGTCGCTCCAGGCCCCAGTGCCTGCAGAAAGTCTCCATAGGCATCTATTTCACAGTTCAGTGGGCCTTCACTTTTATAGAAATCAAGTAACTTTTTGGCTGATTTGTGATCCATGTAAAACAGGCTATCTGTGTAGACATACTCAGTGTGCAGAGGAAGACAGGCAGTGTCACCTCCAGGCATGTCTTGTTGACCAAAGCTTCCTTGTCTATGCACAGCATTAAAGTGATGCATATTTTCAATGGTGGGCTTGTGGAGGAAACGGTGGCATTGCCTGTACTCAAGGTCGCCATGTTGTAAGGAACCATCAGAGTGCAAGACAAATACTCCATGTGTGGTGCCTACAGTCAGACTAGAAGGATGAGCTAAGGCAGTAAAGCCAGGCTGGTCAAAGGCAATGTACTCACAGTCCCCAGTACTGTAGAGTTCAATATCATCTGCACAGGTGACCAACACTCCAGGCCTCATGTGTGAGGGGAAATCCACGTACATGGCTAGTTTTAACTCCAACATCTGATAAATGGGTTCACCAAGTGGTAAGGCGGTAAAGATCTTTCCTAAAGCGCTTGCATTGGGAAGGCGTTGACTGTAGCCACCTGTAAACATTGCAAAGTATTTAAAAATACGTTCTTTAAGAGATTTTCAAAATCTGGTAGTACCAGTTACAATACCTAAGATATTTAATACTAAGTACTTAATCAAAATTCAGAGTAGAATTATAAAGTCTAGACTTTAAAAAACCAAAAAGTGTTTCCCTTACAGCAATCTGAAGTAACGCGATTTTAGGGACTCTAGGTTAGGAAACGGTCTGAAGACACACGAAGCCTGGAGAGCCAGGAATCAGAAATAACTAACAAACGACCACATTTAAAATTTGACCTTTCATGTATATCCCTGACAATGCATTCCAAACATGGTTAAAGTTGTGTACTAGGCATGTACTTCATAGAGAAAGGTGCAAAAGACCAGAGCAGTTTAACAGTGTCAAATTTTACCTCTCTGTTACACAGCTACTTCATGAGGCATTGCCTTCAACGTACAAAACATACTTTAAAAAAGTAAAGGCAAATTTACTTCAGTACATTTTAAAAAACTATACCACTTTTTCATTTAAATTGGCTTTTTCCTTCCAAAATGAACGTCATACTGTCCTGATTCTTGAAACACGCTCTCTCAAACACATTAACTGCCTTAAATCTTTTTAATGTGGAGAAAGTTGTATAGTGCAATGCAGGCTTGTGTGTTGGGATAAAGTTTTCTATAGCATGCTTCATGCTGATAGTGGCATGCTTCAGCCACCACCTGGGGATTTAATAAAGTCCTCTGGGCATCATGAAATCAATAACACATTTAAAGTACTTTTGTACAAGATATATTGTTAACATATAAGAGATAAAATAATTCTCATTGTTTCCTTTTTCCAAAGACCATACAATAGAAAGTTTTCACTAAAAGAATTCTCTTCAGCTATTCATCACATCTGTAGAGACGGGTTCACAACCCTAAATAGACACAAAATTAGAGGGCTCTGACTTCCCTGCCCTGAAATGGCACCGTATTTGCATGTAGCCTGCACTACCTTGCTGGAAAACATATTTATGCCATCTAATCCAATGTAATGCTTATGTAAACAGTGGTTATGCAGAGATATCCCAGGAATTATAAAAGGGCTACATGTTTGGTATAAAGACATCCTTAATTCCCCTCAAATACTTTCTGTCCATGGTTGCCTGAATCTGCAGGGGTGGATGGAACGCCAGGATTCAGAGAGTCCACTATATGTATTGCTATTTATTTCCTAATTACTTTTACCAAACTCATAATAAGACCTTTATTCTATAAGCCAGTGAATTGTTTTATACTCTTATTTTTTCTTGAAAGTAGGACTTAGATGTATTTTGTTCAGGTCATCTGTACAAAGAGTCATATTACTGTATATGCAAATCAGAGTTAGAAAGCATCTTTAAAGCTATGAATATGAACATTCTAAATTACACGCTCCAGGCTAATGCAACGCGTTGGTGAAATTTTCACTAGCTCACTGGACTATAAAGATGAACAACAGAAGTTTCTATGCAACCAAAAGTTTCATATAATCATATGTATTAAATTTATCCTTCTGACACAGTCCTTCTGACTTTTCTCGTTTGGAATGTTCTATAGGCTTTCACATACTTTTGTCACCTTTTCTTTTGTTTTGAAACTGTTAAGCATTGTAGCTTTTTTGCTCACAATAATCAGACAGACATGCAAGGCAAAGGTTTTGATAAAAGAGTAATCATAAGCATCATAATCACCACCACCATCATCCATTTTCTTCCACAACAAAAATCCCCTCAAGGCTCCTGAGAAATGTTCACATTTTTATGAGTTTTGTAAAAAAATAATTTTCTATTTGTAAAACAAAAGTGAAATAAAACTAATAAAAGTTGATGTCATCCATAATCTATGGTAAGAATAAATTTTGTGAAAATCATACTATTTACAAACTGCACATAACAAAAGAAAAAATGAATATTTATTTCCAAAGTAAAATACATTCAATTTTTGAATTTTAAGACAAAATAAAATATAAGGGAAATCATTTGCAAGGGAGACAAAGTTTCTAAGGTGCCAAAGGTAGAAAACTCAAGGGCAAATGTAAATAAACAAACAGTAAATTACCAGAGTGAATTAACAGGACCTTGAAAGAATCCCACTTATCTCCATAGAGGCCTTCCAAACGCTGAAGGGAACAAAGTGTCGATCCTCCATTTCCTTAAAAACAATTCAAAAGCATACTTTGCTTCAGATAAAACTACAAAAATTTTGTTACGGTGATATAATTAGTTACTATTTTGAAGATGTGAATTTTGTCAATACTAGGTTGACAGATTGAAAAGGTATTGGCAGAAGTATTGATCAGTTATAGCAAATAAGCAAACCAACAGCTGATCAGGAAATACAGTGAGAAGCAGCTCATTATGTCTCAAAGACGGTCATAAAAGACGTGATAACGTACATGATCAGTGACTGAAGACTGTAAATTGATACCCGGTTGTCAACATACAACTTGCCTAATGGCTTCTTCTACATGACACACCCCACCACACTAGTTAGGGAGTTTTTTTCTTTTTCTAAATGTAAGAACCTGGTTGTACAAAATATTTCAAATACTGCTAACATATTGTATGCCTAATTCTCCTCTATAGAAGAGACATCGTATAGGTGCCAACCTTCCTCCTGTGAGGATTAAACCAACAGTGGAAAATCAGAGTAATGTCAGTGCTGTGTGCGTGTGTCCTGCTCCTGGCATGAAGAGGCTTTACCTTTGCTTATCATATGAGCCACAAGTTTAGTGATAATTTTTTTTTAAAAGTCACACTATTTACAAACATAGCAAATAAATAAGTAAATAAGAGATGGATGTTGGCCTTCTTTTAATAAATAACAATAAAAAAGCAGAAGAAAACCTTTGCAGTTCTCTTCTTAAGGAATCAAAGGTAAAATATAATTGATTTATTTACTATGACGACGAAGTTGAATTATCAGGGTTTAAGTAAATATTCTACAGTACTTTAAGTAACTGGTCCTAGTTTATCTGTATTCCATAATTTGGACCTAAGAGCCAAGTATATACATCACTTTCCTGATTTGTTTTCTTCATCAAACTACCTCATGAAACTACTCAATTGGGAAAGACCTTAAGAGAATCTCCCATGAATTCCAGTGTAAACTGTATTGAAGCCAAGAAAATTCTTTTAAATAATTTTCTGAACAAGTTTCCCTGTAAGTCACAGTGGCTCAGAATCTTTATTTGGACTTTTATCATTTTAAGACTTAAGGCTGAGATTTTAAAGTTTTTAAAGGCTATGTGTGGAGATTAACAATTTACAAACTATAAACAAGGAAAGCGTATCTTTCAATTATTATTTTGCTCAGAACCCTTTAAAAATGCTCTCCTGAAATGTATACCAATTTTGGTCCCAGCAGGATCAGGAAAAACATGGTATTGAACTCCAAGAGGCAATTCCTTTTTCTTCAGCTTCTCTGACAACTGCTGCTTGTAAGCAAGCTCCTGCTTTTCATCGGCTGCTGTTATTGCAACCACATCCCAGAATTCTCCAGCTGCCACGGGTTTGCCTGTTGGAAAAAACAGCAAGAAAATTTCCCTTAATATGATCAGAAATCTCATTTACAAGCTTGCCTATTTCAAAAGAGGGGCAGACAAAAGGACAGTCATTATCATCTTCCAATATAAGAAGAGGATGCAACCAACCAGCCAACCAAGCAAACATTAGCATCTAAAAGCAAGTTTTGTGAATCAGGGCCCTTAATGTCCCTGGCTGAGAAATTTCAACTCAAGGATCCACTCCTTCCACATTTTTGTTTAGGAATGTGGTCCTTTGTTATTGTTGCTTATAATTTTTCTCTTTTCTTTTTCTTTTCTTTTCTCTTCTTGTACCGGGAACTAACCAGAGCCTTATGCATGCCAGCTCTATCACTGAGCTATAGTCACAATCCTTCATTCATCTATTTAATTAATTTAGCATCTTACTGCTAAGAGGGTTGAGCCAGGCTGGTCCAAAGGTAGTGAGCTACCTCAATCAATTGTTCACATTTAGCTACAGATTGAAGTCCTGTTCTAGTCTCCCCTCCTTCTCATTACTCCACTTGACAGAGATAAGAGTAAAACAAAGCCTACCTACCCCAGAACTCCTCTAATGTGCTTTAAAGTGGGCCTGCAAACTCACTTCCGGGTCTCTTTATCTTGGTAATAGGAGACCCCAGCATGCTGGACTTCTGCAAAATAAAACACTCTTTGTGTTTACATTGTATCTGAGTATGGGAATCATTCTTCATCTTCAGTGAATCATGGGCCCTTATACTACTTGACAGACTGGCCCTGAACTCATATCTATCTATCTATCTATCTATCTATCTATCTATCTATCTATCCATCCATCTGTCAATCATCTATCTATCATCGTCATTTGTCTGTGTAATACAGGTAGGTCTTGAACCTTGTTCCTACTGCCCCAGCTTCCCAAGTGCATGATAGTACAGACTTCCAACACCCGTCCTAACTTTTAATATTTTTATTGACTTATGATGAGCAAACTAAACATATAAGCCATCAAAACACTACACAAACCCCACGATTAAACTTCCTGGTGAACTCATTAAATGACAAATTTCACTTTCAGGAAACAGTGGAACTCTCTTTACCAACAAAAATATTAATAGGGTTTTAACAAGTTGAGAGACAATGAGAGGGTGGGAAAAAAAGAGACAGGGTGGGAGGGAGAAAGGAGGGAGGAACTGAGATAAGGAAGGAGGAAAGGAGAAAGAGGGAGGAGGAGGGAAGGAGAGGAAAGACAGAGACTACGACAGACGTGTTAGCTAGGATTTAATAATTCCAATCATTCTGGTATCCACATATAAATCCAATTTTTGGCAGTTACAAATACCAATTTTACCAAACTGCTGTTCAGAGAAGGGCAAGTTCCCCAAACTTACATTAGCAAACTTAAAGCCACGTTTGCTTTCATATTGGGGTTTACACAGGAATAAACTGGTTTATTCAGGGGGCTTAGGAAAAGGACAGAAACAAGGTAAAGACTACTTCAGACTCTAAGCAAAGGTACTTCTACCACTGAGCTAAGCCATGTGTTACTTTCCGTTAGTAATTCTCACAGCTCCTTCCTGACGTCTAAGTTTAGGCTCGCAGAGAGAGGAGGAGAAGGGAAAGTCTGGCTGTCTTGCCCAGGACGGAGCGGACAGGAACGGGCAGCGGACAGGAAGCTAGCTGCGCGGGGTCCTTGGGAAGGCGCTTTCCGTGCAGGGGGCCAAAGAACTCAGTTCCGCCAGGGTACCTCTCAGCTCGGAAAATCTGCGCAGTTTCCGCAGGGTGGCTTCGCGGAGGGACGCCATGGCCGACTTCCGGGAGCCCACTTAGGACGCATGCGCACTCCGAAGCCGCTCCCCGCCCCGTCTCGGCCGTGCGAGCCACGTCACCGCGGCCCTGGAAGCGCCCTGAGACTCGGAAAGCTAGGATGGTGTGAGCATGCGCAAGCGGCGTTTCCCGGGCAACGCTCTGTAGGGGGCAGATGGGCCGGCACCTAGCATTGCCGGGCTGCGCGGGGCTGTGGGTTCCCGCTTTACCACGTCTGACAGCCCGCGGTGAGACAGAGGAGACCAAGCCGCCCATGATCGATCGGGGATCCACCACCCAGATGCCGAGGTGACCTGCCCGCACCGAGCTCCTATTCTTGTCAGAAGCCTCCCAGGGAGGCCGGATCCCTGAACCATAGGCTCAGCCTTGTGGAATGCTTTCTGGTGAACCAGACCACTCTGTGCTCTTCAGTTGGCCAATTTCCCAAGCCCAGTCTTGAACTAGCACCTTTGGCCAGCAGCCACACACTCTGTTGTGTTCACTTGCTTCTGGGAGATTCATTCAAAGGTGCCGAATATTGAGAAGAGACAGTTTGAATTGAACACACTTTCATAGGCTGGTTATATGTATTACTCTTGTAGAGCGTGTAGTTTATATGAGTAGTACAGATTAATTTCTCTAACTTTACACACAGCACATATTGAGTAACATTTAAGGAAGACATTTCAGTCTGAAACACAGAAATCTTACTCCTACAGTTTGACCTGAGACGTTTCTCTTCATTACAGTCTAACTCTGAACTCTGCATAGCAGCTCCCTATGAACTTAAGTTTCTGAGTAAGCTTAGTTTTTCATTTAAAGTCTTGACGTCAGCATTTAATTCTGTATTTGAAGTGGACACATTTGTGGGGAGGAGATTACTGTTTCACAATATACCCCTGCTGAAGAAAATTTAGAAAACACACAAAGGCCTGATAGTAACAGCAATAGAAGTCAGAGTCTGTGATTTGTATTCTTGAGTGAACTGGAGTCATCCCAGGTTTTTGGTGACCTGCCTTATGTTTGAAGGGGACAGACACACTGAAATGTGTCATCGGGTATGGCAAGAATATAAGCAGAGAGCTTTATTTGGAGCCTACTAAAGTAGCACAAACAGGAGACATTCGGTAGAAATTTAAAATAATGGGAGATGGGGAGAAATTGCTTAGATTCTAGAAACACTTTGAAGGGAAAACCAACAACACCTGTCCACTAAATGAGTGTGGATTGTGAGAGAAATTACCAAAAGATGCCTGAAAGTGGATGACAAGGCCGTTAAATGAGCTGAGGAAAAGTATGTACGGGGAAGCATAGTGAAGTCATAAGAGAAGATCTGTAATAGTATTGGATATGTAGAACAAACATGTGCAAATATAGTAGAAATTGTGTGTTCCTGTGCATTGTGTACGTGGTTCTGGAGATCAGGACAGGTCTGACTAGAAAATTTTGTGAGTTGTCAGAATAGAGACGGAATTTATTTTCAACTACAGAAGTAGGTTGAGATCCAAAGGGAATTCGTAAAGGTCAAAAAGACCTACATATTTGAGTGCCACACATTCTTATAATCGGGAAAACAGAAATTAACCAAATTTAAATTCATCATATAGTACTTCATGCCCACCTTTCCATTCTGTGCTGAAATGTGCTCTGCCTTGAGCTTGTCTCGGGGTTGCTGTTACAGCTACTGTGAGTTGATGAGTGCAGCTGCCCTGCTGCATCCACAGTTCCCACCTCCTCTGCCACTTACACTCTTCCTAGATCCCCTCCACAATGACCCCTACCCTGAGCCTCGGGAGGAGAGGATGTAGTGTAGATACATCAATTTCAGAGATTGAGCATGACATAATTGTACTCTCCACACATTGACCAGTTATGAGTCTCTGTGTTAGTTACCATATATTGCAAAAAGAAACCTTTCTGATGAGGGTTGAGAGATGCACTAATCTATGGGTCTAGCGATAGATCATTGGGAGTTAGTTTAATGCTGTCTGTTCATCAGATTAAGAGCAGTAGGTTCCTCTGTAGAGTTTCATGACCTATCTGGCCACAGGTTCTTGCTTCTAATAACAGTGCCAGGTATGGGCTCTCTCATATGGAGGGTGACTTAAATCCTTAAATTCAAATCAGAAAGTTGTTGATTACCCCCATAAAATTCTTTTCACTAGTGCACTAGTAAGTGTATCTTACCAGGTCAGTCATTATAGCTTATAAAACTCCTTTTTCTACCTGAGGGGGTATAGACCAGTCATAGCTACTGAGAGCAGGTGAGGCAATTTTCTTTAAGGCTGTGGTCTCTGTGATAGGTCAACCATCATTTGGTAGATGTCCCACCCACGAGGATATTGGCAGCATAAAACAGACCCAATGAACTTTAACAAAAGAAGAAAAATAATGCTGTTTGAATGAGTATATTGCGTTGTCTAAAAAGTTGTTTTAAAGTAGATGAGATGGAATAATCAGTATGATTAATAATTTCAGATAAAAGCTTCCTACACAGTGATGTGACTGTGTAAAACTACACATCTATGTATGTTATTTATACACTGATGCAGTGAAGCATGTCACTTTTAATTAGAGAGATGGAATCTTGATGTTGTATATGGATGAATGTTGATTGTATAAACCATGTTTTAAAAAATATGATCATATGTGTTGGATTAAAAAGGAGAATTAAGACAATAACAAGTCATGTGACTGCCTTGGAGAAAACATTGTGAAACGTATAATTGGTAAAGCACTGTTATCCAAAATGATACAAGGCTCTCAAACTCAACAGTAAGCAGCCAATCAACCAACCAAAACAAAACAAAACAACAACAACAACAAAAAAGGTCAAGAGAGCTGAAAATACCTCATTGGAGGACACACTCAGATGCCAAACCAACACACAGAAAGTTGTTCAGCATCAGATATCTGTAGGAATTTCAAATTCAAAAATTGAGGTACCCCTATACAGCTATCAAACTGGCCATAAGTTAAGATATTAATACACCAAATACTAGTAAGAATGTGAAGGAATAATTTTTCAGCTTCTTGGTGACGGAAACACAAAGTAGTGTTTTTAAAGACTAGCAGTTCACGACAAGATAAAGTGTATATATTATCCAAAAGTAGGCCCCTTGATATTTGTCCTTAGTGAATGAAGACCAGATACTGTACAGTAACAAGTGTGTACCATGTTGTGAGATACGCACATTAGTAGTAACCTGTAGATCCCTGCTGGGCTCTTCACTATAACCAATACATATTACTCCATAATACTAATTTAATAATGGAAAACTTTGACGTTAAGGAGTTATTATAGGAAGACTGTAACACTAAATTCTTCAGTTGACTTAAAACAACAGAAAACATCCTTTGCAGGAGAGATGTGATAAACGTGTCCTAAGTGTCTCACTCACACTCTACATGTACTCTAATTGTAGGTCTCTGTATTAGTTATCATCTAAAGCAAGAAGAAGCTTGTCCAATGATGGTTGAATGAAGTACTCTTCTATGGATATAGCAATGTGTCACTCTCACTCATTTTATTGCTATTTTTATTTAGCAGAATGGTAATATTAGGCTTTCCCTATGGCCCATGACCTATATAGTCTGAGGTTCTTGGCTTTCTTAACCGGGTCAGGTATGGGTTTCAAGTTATGGAGGGGACCTTAAATCCAATTTATTTTTTATTGGATATTTTATTTATTTACATTTCAGATGTTATTCCCTTTCCCCATTCCCTTCCCCAGAAACCTTCAGCCCATCCCCCCTCTCATCTGCTTCTATGAGGGTATGTCCCAATCCACCTACCCACTCCCATCTCTCTGCCCTAGAATTCCTCCACACTAGGGAATCCAGCCTTCACTCCCCTCCTTTCCCACCTATGCCTGACAAGGCCATCCTCTTCTACATATACAGTTGGAGCCATGAATCCCTCCTTATGTGCTCCCAGGCTGGTGGTTTAGACCTTGGGAGTTCTGATTGGTTGGTATTGTTGCTCTCCCCATGGGGTTGCAAACCCTTTCAGCTCCTTCAGTCTTCTCTCTAACTTTTCCATTAGGAACCCCATGATCAGTTCAATGGTTAGCTGTGACCATCCACCTCTGTAGATGTCAGGCTCTGGCATTGCCTCTAAGGAGACAGCTATATCAGGCTCCTGTGTGTATGCATTTCCTGGCATGTACAACAGTGTCTGCCTTTGGTGACTGCACATGGGATGGATACCCAGGTGGGGCAGTCTCTGGACAGCCCCTCCTCCAGTTTCTGTTCCACACTATGTCTCCATATTTGCTCCATTGAGTATTTTTTTACTCTTTCTAAGAAGGATCAAAGCATTCACACTTTGGTCTTCCTTCTTCATGAGCTTCATGTGGTCTGTGAGTTGTATCTTTGATATTGCGAGCTTTGGGGCTAATATCCACTTAGTTGGATATGAGTGCATACTATGTGTGTTCTTTTGTGACTGTGTTACCTCACTCAGGATGATTATTTTCTAGTTCCATCCATTTGCCTAAGAATTTCATGAACTCATTGTTTTTAATAGCTGAGTAATACTCCATTGTGTAAATGTACCACATTTTCTGTATCCATTCCTCTGTTGAAGGACATCTAGATTCTTTCCAGTTTCTGGCTATTACAAATAAGGCTGCTATGAACATAGTGGAGCATGTGTCCTTGTTATATGTTGGTGCATCTTCTGGGTATATGCCCAGGAGTGGTATAGCTGGGTCTTTGGGTAGCACTATGTCCAATTTTCTGAGGAACCACCAGACTGATTTCCAGAGTGGCTGTATCAGTTTGCAATCCTATCAACAATGGAGGAGTGTTCCTCTTTCTCCACATCCTCACCAGCATCTACTATCACCTGAGTTTTTGATCTTAGCCATTCTGGCTGGTATGAAGTGGAATCTCAGGATTGTTTTGATTTGCATTTCCTGGATGACTAAGGATGTTGAACATTTCTTTAGGTGCTTCTTGGCCATTTGAGTTTCCTCAGTTGAGAATTCTTTGTTTAGCTCTGTACCCCCCTT